TGCAAACACTAATGCTAAAACGGTCACGATTGCTATACTCTCTTCCTGATTAGACAGTTTTATAGCATCTAATAACCCTTCTAATATTTGATGATATTGACCAGATAGATTTTCATGCTGGGAACACAGGATCAGTTTAGCCTGATTTATCATCAGCACATGAGATCTATAAAGCCTGAGTGTGTAATGCTAGCTTTAGCAGGACCGGCAGAGACTGCAGACTATTCAATAAAAGCAAACCCAGTCAGTGTAGCATAGACCGCTGTGTGTCACATGTGCTCTGTAATGCATCCATTATAATGTACAAGCAAAACAGTGTAACAACTCAAATGTGCAGCTTTGGCCCTGTGGCATAAATAATCCATTTAGCAGGCAAAAAAACAAAAAAAATGCTTCTTATGCGACAGCTAGATGAAAGGAGAAGTGGTGAAAGAAGAAAAGACTCCTCTTTTCAGACACTGCATTGTGAAAAACAATTGAGCTTAATTGCATTGAGTGTAATGATGAAATCAAAGGCCACTTAATTGACCTTAAGTAGTGTAGACTTTCATGACTGCTTCTAACAATGTCAAATGAGACGTTTTGCCTTAAATTGAAATCATTATGTTATAATGACGTAGACATATTTTGATGACTAGAGAGGCGTGAAGAGAGACAGGGTGTGGAAAATTAATAAGTCTTCTTTATAATGTCATTTTCTGCAGATGGACACTGAGTGAAACACATTTTCCTTCTGTAATGTCACATATTTCCAAATGAAACTAAGATATTTAACCATTAATTTTTTTTTTAGAGCAGAACAGGATTTTATCCAGATACTAAAAAAATATGGAAAAAAAATACTAAAATGTTGCAATACATTTATTGTATGCTAAGTATACTACAAATACATTTACATACTAAATATAAATACCCTGCAATTGTACTGTTGGTGTACTAAACTGATAAACTTAAAGTCTGCTAAACTAAACTAATTTTGAATGATGTACTTTAATAATCCAGAAATAGTGCTGAAGTTCAACTAAAGATAAACTGAAGTATATTTGACTATTGCAAGTACACTTTAAATATCATTTAAAGACTGATATTATACAGAGATCACACCATCCTTACTAATAGTGATATTAAAACACATTTTAGGTTTAATATTAAGAAATGTGCATTGTACAATAAAATAAAGTTTAATTATAATATTTATATCAGTAAGTCTCAAGTGATATGTTAATAAATATGGTAATAGATTTATAGTTCGTATGAAATAAATGTATTTTAAATAGTTTTTTTTACCAGTGGACTTCATTGGATTGTATTGATCTGCTATTACTGGTAAACATTACTGAAATGACTCGGTGACATTAATAGAGAAGGAAAGTCATTTCCGAGGAGGATCGAGTTTTCACGTTTTGATTAAAGTCGTGATAAAGCGTTAGTAGCAACAGATCTTCTGTTCTGTATTGTGATGCACATCTGAGTGAAAATGGCAGGACATACAGGGTTATACAATTAAATTGCACTCAAAAATGAATGTGAACTGGTTTTCAATTGAAGGGATAGTTCACCCTATAATTAAAACTCAGTCATCATAATTTCATGCCGTTCTAATGTTGTATGCCCTTCTTTCTTTTATGGGCCGCGAAAGGAGCATTTTTAAAAAAATGTCTAGAAATCAAATCAGAAATCAAACTATCCGTTTCTTCACTGAGTTTAATAAGACATTTGAGGACGTGAACTGCTTGTTGCGACGAACACAACGGATATATTCACCTCAGAGAAGAAAGTACATTGATTGTGTGACACAGACAGCAGGGTTATTAGGGTGCTGTCACTTTAAGAGCTAATGCACGGATCCAATATACTGTTACACGTGTGTTTTCTGTCTCAACTGTGTACGTTTACTCAAGACATAACATGTGTTTACGTGAATACTCTCCAATGTTTTGTGCCTTCACATTTAGGCGCGTATCCGAAGCACATTTGCTTATCCGCAATCCTCTCCGCGCAAAGAAAGCCGTCTCGGGAACAGTGTCTCTTTTGCGGCTTAATGCGTTTTAAATTTCATATCATAAATCCAAGAACACGTGTCACATGTCTCTTTCTGTTAAAAGCTTGATGCTGGTCGCTATTCACTGCCATTATCTGGGCATTTTATAAAAAATTCTCCTTTTGTCCATAAAAGAATAAAAGGGCATACGGCATTAGAACAACACCAGGGTGAGTAAATTATGACTTTATTTTCATTTTAGGGTGAAGTATCCCTTTAAGCTGACTAGAGAGAGATCAATTGTTTCTCTGCAAAGTTATGACATTTAGATTGAACAACATGAGATGAAAAACTATTTTATACATGCATGAATTGTTTACAGTAAGATCTATATGCTTTAACAAAACAAATAGGGTGAATTTTACATTCGTAACGACTATGTTGAATGAACACTGATTCTGTCTAATATATTAGATCTCACAAATATGATAGACATCATACAAATGAAAATATATCTATTTACAAATATGCATGCACACAACGTCTTTGTTTGTTCTCACTTTTCATCTCCACCCTCTTTTACTCACACCTTCCCTGGGAAACGGCACATCAAATTTATTACTGCGTATATTATAGGCCTGTTCCTCATTCTTTATCTCTCTCTTGTCAGCGTGCAAAAAGCATTCCCAATGTGTTCAACATGAGGAAAAAGTCGTATGGGTTTGGAATAGTGCTGTGCAACGATTAATCGCATCCAAAATAAAAGTTTGTGTTTACATAATATATGTGTAAATATAAATACACACATATGCATGTATATATTTAAGAAAAATGTGTTATTTATATATAAAAAATGTATATTATTTATGTATAATATAAGTTATGTATACATATAGTATATACATGCAAATATATACAAAATAATTATACACAGTACATATATTATGTAAACACAAACTTTTATTTTGGATGCGATTAATCGCGATTAATCGTTGCCCCGCACTAGAAAGAAGTCATTTGGGTTTGGAACGACAAGAGGGGCAATAGATTTTGACCAAATTGCAAATACCTTAAAACTAACTGGAACTCATTAATACAGAAAAGCCTTCATGAAACTGCCACGACGCACCCGAGTGATCTGCAAGTATTCACTGTCATTAACCTACTTTAATCGTGAAACAATGAGTACATAAGTAGCCTCACTTCAAATGCTTTGAATCCCGAACGCATCAGTGTACTGTACCATCTGCTTGTGTAACAGTATCTGCAGTCTTATCTGGCCAGCCCTCTGAAACCCCGAGGACTTTACCCATGATGCAGCAGGACTGGGGCGAACCCTCATTCTCCAGGTTTAAGTCACAGCAACTGCGCCAGGGCAGATTACATTACCACGCATTCCCTCTCCAGATTAGTTTTGAAGAATACAACTGCACCCAAACCAGAGATGTGTCTGTCTGTGAAACATAAAACCCCAATACAATTACATTTCTCTCTTCTGCACTTACACATACACACAAGACATTTAAAGGGATAGTTCACCCAAACATGAATATTCTGTCTTTAATCACTCACGCTAATGTCTATCCAAACACAATCTTCGAAGCACAAATGAAGATATTTTTTATTAAATCTGAGAGATTTCTGTCCCTCCATTGACAGGCTACGCAACTACCGCTTACAAGCCCCAGAACGGCAGTAAAGACATCTATAATGTAATCCAGTGGTTCTGATTTATGGTAAACTTGGAGATTAATATTTTGTTAATAAAGTGGTAAATTGTGTTTCTGGTGTCGCTTCATAAAGTTGGGGTTAAACCACACATGCATGGATTATGTTCATGTCTCTGAAATTTGCTACAGCTGTCATTGGAGAGACAGAAATCTCTCAGATTTAATAAAAAATATCTTCATTTGTGTTCAGAAGATAAACGAAAGTCTTACGGGTTTGGATAGACATTAGCGTGAGTAATTAATGACAGACTTTTCATTTTTGGCTGAACTATCTCTTTAACTTCTCTTTATGTAGCTTTGAGAAACCTAACTGGCACCACAAAGGGCTTCATGTTGCTAAAACATCACTAGACATCTTCATCTCTGGACAATAGAGACACCAGAATAAACATATTCATGATTCTGAAGCTGAAAACACAGAATTATTTTAGATGAATATGCTTGAACTCTGTCACTGACTAGATATATTTAAAATAATGTCGGCCACTTTTTACTGGTAACATCAGACATTTGGCGTTATCATTATCAGGACCCACAAATATTCCCCCATTGCATTAATATACATCATATTCAACATTATATATAGCAGTTTAATGCAGTACTGACACTAAAACTCTGAAAACTTGAATTTTTTTCTCACAGTAATTTCTATTGTGGGTGAATTATACACAATACATAGTCACTATCCACGATACATATTGTTGCATTTTTGTATTACGATATATTGTGACACGATATATTGTTACACCCCTAGAAACAAGTGCTCTATGTAGTAAACGCAGGACAAATTAACAGCAATGTATACTAATTTGTATTTACCACTTATGGGTACTGAGCTATTCTGTTTTTTTGTTAAATTATCTATTCAACAAAGCTTATACATTTTTAATTTCTTATACATTTTACTAGTTATGATAGGCTATTTACGCTTCTTTTTTTTTTGCCTGTAAATAGAATGCTAAATTTTACTTCCTGTTATTATACTAAGCCTGGGAACACAGAACATTTAATAAACAAAGAAGCGTTTTCTAAATGTCCAGCTTCATTACAAGGCTTTGCTTCTGTGGTATGTCAACTATTCTCCTTCTTTTTTTTTAATACGAAACAGCGCTGCAGCAGAAAATCACACGTTAACATCAAATTTGATTGACAGTCGTTTAGGGCTAATCAGCATTCTCTGTCTCTACTGTGATTGGATAGAATGATAGTTGTGGGCGGGCTTTACACAGACAGCTAATGGTGTTCTGATACATACTAACCTTGTGTGTCCGGAGGGGCGGGGCTTCAGGGGTCTATTTATATGGGGGAAGTGTCTTTTCCCAACCAGTTGAAGAAAGAAAAAGGTTAGTTGCCTTCTCAAATCTTATTACCCAAGAGTGAAAATGAGGGAAATCGTGCATCTTCAAGCCGGACAGTGCGGAAACCAGATTGGAGCCAAGGTTTGTTTTTTAATTTTTTTAATTATTATTTTTTTTAATTGAAATTTGCAGTTGTTGTTGGTTTAATATTTGGTATTAGTGTTTATAGAATAGGATATGTAATGAAAAATAAAAAAATCGAATCGGTAATATTTTCTCTAATACTAGGCTGTATGTTCACAGTCCAATATTCCAAAATATTCTGATCTCGTTTGAATGAAATCTAGGTCATACATGTGCTTCCTCGTTCGGGGTTTATTTGGTTAGGTTGAAACGATTAAAAGATTTTCAAAGATTATGTATTTTAGCAGTTGGCCAAAATGTGTATAAATGCATGTTTTTTTTCCATGTCAATTGTTCGTCTCGCCGGCGTCTGTCTGGGAGCTTCCCTTTGTGAGATTCACTGCAGTGCGACAAAAGGAAGTGAACGTGTAAGCGCAGTCTAAATATAGCCATATCCCAGATTTTCTAAAGGAAATAATCGAAATAAATATTACCAAAAAAAACGTAAATCTTATAGCACCGGCCTGTTAAGTCGGATATTTATTTTATTTATCTATTTATTTCCGAAATGTAGACGCCCTATAAATCGATTAGGTATGAGCGCACCGGAAATGGATTTCAGCCAACCGGTGCGCGTGGCGCGCGCGCGAGTTTTGCGCGGGAGGAATTCAAAGAAGCTCATTTGTTAGTGACGTTATAACAAATTGTAACCGAAATTAAAATGTATAAAAGCGCATTTTATGTAACGATTTTGTATATAACGTATAATGCCTAAAAGCATGTTAATGTGAAATATGCGTGGGAGTTTGTGAACAGTTGGCTCCTTTTGTTAAGCCCACTCCGTGAATATTTGAAAAGCGTAGTTTTAATGAAATAAAGACCTTATTCACATAAAACATAAAATTATTCACATAAAATCAAAACCTTTGATTTTTAACGGGAGTGAAAGCGAGGCTGTGTGGGATATACATACATCTGTTGAGTGGGTTGTACTGTTATATAATTATTTTTGGATTGTTCTGCTTATGAAACAATACAAAAATATTTTTCAGAGAAATTTTAAGTTGACAAAAAAAAAAGTGATCTAGGAGCTTTTATACAATTTTTTTTACAGCAGATACCATTGAAATAACACGGTAAGTCTATCCCTCATAGCCTCGCTTTCATACCTGTCATGGTGCCACTCTGAATAAGGTCTATTTCAGTCCACAATATGAATAAATAAATTGTTGATTTTAAATCTGCATTACTGATAACATTGTTGTTAATTGTTGCCTACAGCTTTAAGCACAATCTACTCAAGTCACTAATATGTTTATTATATCCTGTAGTTCTGGGAAGTTATCAGTGATGAACATGGTATTGATCCCACCGGCACATATCATGGTGACAGCGACCTCCAGCTCGACAGGATCAACGTCTATTACAATGAGGCATCAGGTACGTCCACATAGCAATACTACCAAGTGAGGGTGCACAGTATGATTTTTTTAATATGGTAAAATAGTTTTGTATTTTTAATTTATCAAGCCATATTAACCCTGTGTTTTATCATGTTTTAGGAGGCAAATACGTGCCCCGTGCTGTGTTGGTGGATTTGGAGCCGGGAACCATGGACTCCGTGAGGTCGGGACCCTTCGGCCAGGTCTTCAGGCCAGACAACTTTGTTTTTGGTGGGTATTGTTATTGATAGTGTTGTCACTATACTGGAATTTCCAACTTTGGTATGATACCTTGAAAAAATATCAATATTTCATACCATTTTTTCGGTACCACAGTTTTGTTTTGTTTTTGAAAATTTGGGTCATTTTGTTGTAATAGTTCTTACACACTGAACAGGGAGGCTTTATTTGAATCATTGAACTAAATTTACCCACCCCACCCAAAAAAAGACAAATAAACAGTCAGTAATGAAATGAGAATAAATAAACAAATTGCAAATGATAGCACATATAACTACAATTGAATAAAGAGATAAATGAAATAAACATGGCTTTAAGTTTTTCAGGTTTCCTAACACTGATTTGTGTAGCCTTTCTTAACTGAATACTAAAGTAATCAAATGTACAATAACACTGGATAGGTTTCATAAAAAAAAAAATTAAATACAGATTAATGCTTACAATTAATGTTACAAAACCAGATCAACGAGTGATTTTCTCTTTGTCTTTTGTTCTTTAATTAACATGACAGACTGCAGCAGGTTTATAAGGCTGCCGTCACGTCAAGATCCAATATACTGTTACACAATATGCGTTTTATCTCAACTATTTACGTTTCAAAACTGACTGTTCATCTAAATACTCTGCAAGACGGGCACGTCGACATTTTTGTATGGATTAATTGCAATAAGCCACGGGAAAAAAAGGTCAATTCCCATTCTCATGGCTTTATGAGAGTGAGTGACAGGAGGCGGGTGTGTGTCAATTCGCTGTCGTAGAGAAGAGATGTGTATCAATACTGCAGAAAAAGAGCCGTTTCCGATATTTCAGTATTGATATTTTTGACAACACTATTTATTAATTAAACGAAATGCCATATATTTGTTCAAAATGAGGATGTTTTAAATATCTCGCAACAGGTCAGAGTGGTGCTGGAAACAACTGGGCTAAAGGCCACTACACGGAGGGGGCGGAGCTGGTGGACTCGGTCCTGGACGTGGTTCGTAAAGAAGCCGAAAGCTGCGATTGCCTGCAGGGCTTCCAGCTCACACACTCTTTGGGAGGAGGAACCGGCTCCGGCATGGGGACGCTCCTCATCAGCAAGATCCGCGAGGAGTATCCCGACCGCATCATGAACACCTTCAGCGTGGTGCCCTCGCCTAAAGTGTCCGACACCGTGGTGGAGCCCTACAACGCCACACTCTCTGTGCATCAACTGGTTGAGAACACAGACGAGACCTATTGTATCGACAACGAAGCGCTGTACGACATCTGCTTCCGCACGCTTAAACTCACCACTCCTTCGTACGGCGATCTGAACCATCTCGTATCCGCTACTATGAGCGGCGTCACCACTTGCCTGCGTTTCCCCGGCCAGCTAAACGCTGATCTGCGCAAGCTAGCCGTAAACATGGTGCCTTTCCCTCGCCTCCACTTCTTCATGCCTGGCTTCGCTCCTCTCACCAGCAGGGGGAGCCAACAGTACCGTTCCCTAACCGTACCAGAGCTCACTCAGCAAATGTTCGACGCCAAGAACATGATGGCGGCTTGCGACCCGCGCCACGGACGCTACCTCACAGTCGCCGCCATCTTCCGTGGCCGCATGTCCATGAAGGAGGTCGACGAGCAGATGCTCAACGTTCAGAACAAGAACAGCAGCTACTTCGTCGAGTGGATCCCAAACAACGTCAAAACCGCCGTTTGCGACATCCCGCCGCGCGGGCTCAAAATGGCCGCCACCTTCATCGGGAACAGCACTGCCATCCAGGAGCTCTTCAAGCGCATTTCCGAGCAGTTCACCGCCATGTTCCGGCGCAAAGCTTTCCTCCACTGGTACACAGGAGAAGGCATGGATGAGATGGAGTTCACCGAGGCCGAGAGCAACATGAACGACCTGGTGTCCGAGTATCAGCAGTATCAGGACGCCACCGCGGAAGAGGAGGGCGAGTTTGAGGAGGAGGGAGAGGAAGAGCTGGCTTAGATCTCTCTTAATATACGTGTCGTTTTCCAAGCTGTATCATTTCGCTCTCGTACAAGGAAAAAAAAATCATTTTTGTTCTTGTCTCTTGTTTGTACAGATGTCATTAAAAGTCTTTTTCTTCTGTTAAGATGTCTTCCTCTTTATTTAATTAACTGCACGGTTAACATATAGAACCCTGAATACATGAAAATCCATATACATGAATTACAACAATACCCGTTCTTGTCTTAGGACAACTTTGATGAACTTTTTTGATTTACTTCAAATGTTTGTAAAGATGTCATTAAAAGGCTTTTTCTTCTGTTAAGATGTCTTCCTCTTTATTTAATTAGTTCGCACTCACCTGAACCCATCCTCATTCTTTACTGGTCACAGATCCTCGTCAAACCTGTCGAGTTTGCCTCCAGACATCACTGGTTGAGTTAACATTAACAACAACATTATCATGCCAAAGTATATTTACGTTACCAGTCACAAGTTTCATAATCCTTCGTACATGATTATGAGAATGTTCAACCCATACAACAGGGTTCTGTTAACTGTGCAGTTAGTAACATGAAATAGAAATGAACAGTGTTTTACCATATTTATTAATCTCGACGTTCATTTCTATATACATTAATGCATTTTAATAAACAGTGAAAAGGTTCTCTTAGAATTGTTTATGAATACAGAAAAATATCCCTTTTCTTAGTTCATGATACTAGTGTTAAGTTATCAAAACTAATAACACAACTGGTAGTGACCAGAAATGTTGAATATAGTATAATTTAGAAGATATTCTGAAGAATACAGGTAACCAATTTTAAATTTAGATTGAGCAAACCCTTTAATATCAAAGGGAGGTTATGAGAAACGTTTCAGTCATGTACAGTATGTACAGTACAGCAAAAAAATAAAATAAACATGAGTATTAAGTCATAATTGGACATAGGGCTGTTATAGCTGTTCTCACTAGAAACTTAATTTAAAAAAGGAAGGTTTATCCTTCACAGTTACTTACACAGCATTAAATAACAATTTGGGTTTATAGCTTTAAAACTAGTAATACTTAAATATGTTATCATGATCTTACCACCATAGGTATATTATACATTGATGCCCCATTAGCGGCCGTTTCCGCCATATTGGAACGGTCAAAACTGGTCTGTGAACGTCCGAGAGCAAGTTTACTGAGTGTCTGCAACCCTAGTTAGACGCCTGTGTTAGACGAATATATATGAAATAAACTTCAGCAGATTATTTAGCTAAACTAACACAATAGCTACAACAAGACAAAGGCGTTAGCTAACACACACAACATTAACAAGTTACCATAGTAAAAGTAAAAACATGAAAAGTAACCTACCATAGGAAAAACATGTAGTATTAAGTTAATAGGCTACATATAAACACAAACCAACACATTATCACTTTTAAAAGGTTATCCCATATCTTTTCTTCGTGAGTTTAAAATTGAAATCGAACCTGTAAAATATTGTGGCATCATTGATTGCAGTGAGTGACGACACGCTGACCGTTGCAAGATGGCGGGCGCGCTGACGTGTCTGGACTGGAGCGGCATCTACGTATACAAACCTATGCTTACCACACCCAAGCGAATCACGAGTGTCTTTATTACAGTTTCTCAGCAGATAGCGCTGTTGTCTAAGTTTTCCTTTTCGTCCATACAAAGTAGGATAAGATCCCAACACACAGCAAGAGCAGAGACCAGCAGCAAGCCCGCTTCACCTGGTCTTCAAGATTCTGCTTCTCGCCAAAACGAGTGATAAAACCTGACTGAGAGCAAAACACAAAGTCTGCAATTAACAACAACAAAAAAACTATATTTTATTACAATATGCAATAAAAAAATCCACTTTATTTTGCTATGCAGAAGTAATGCGAATGCGCGGGAGACTTCCAATTCATTACCCGCCATCCCATGGCTAAAGAATAACTGCAGTAAAATGTGTGCTGAATGATTTATGATTACGATAATAAATAAAAAATAATATAACAAATATCAGTTTACAATAAGACTAAAATAACACCGGAAGCCTCGAACGTGTACAAGTTAAAAATGGCTGCTCACTCTTACCTTAAAATGAAGGCAGCCTAAATAAAATGTAATTATATATTTTATTAAAATGTAAAATAAATTTTTTAAGTGCAGTTTACTACAGCACTAAATCTTTTCTAATAAAGAATTTTTTTCAGTTACTCAAATATGATAGTGATAATAAATAAATAGAATAAATTATGATCATAAAATATGTCCCATGAAGGTAGCATGAAAAACCATGAATTTCTGACTAGATAAATCATGCTTGTTTAGCTCAAACCATGGCATTATTATTTATTTTGTTCACCTAGTGTGCATACACGTCCTAGAGGGAAAAAACAGTTACCAATGATGCAATTTGCTCCTACAGCTGCCATATTAACATTGATTTCCACCCCCCATATTTTCAGTTTTTTAATGCAATTTTTTTATTATTATTATTATCTACGTCTAAATTACTAGATTTTATCAATAATTTAATTTAATAATATAATGTAAGCACATTCTTTATGTTCTTTCAAGTTCGATACAAAATAACTGCAATACGTGCAGAAACTTGTTAAAAAAGCACAAAAAGTCCCACATTGGGTGTCTTTGCCGACCTCTTGTGTGGAAAAAATTATATAACATGAAATTTCATGAGTCTTGCCACTAGATGGCCTTATAGCTCTATATGGAGCAAATGAGCTGTTTCCGGGTCCTAAAATCAGTTCTTCAGTATGCATTCAGATACACATGTAGACATTATAAAATAGTTTTGATGGTAAAGTTTTAGCATTTTTAGTTTGAATTTTGAGCATGTTTAGGTTTTCTATGTTTACTGAAGCATTCCTCGCATTCATTCCTAATGGGATCAAATTGACCTGCGATGGAAGGATTTGTTACTTTTTAAATTTCAACCACAAAACTCCTCGAATCGATCCAATCGCTTGGATAGAATCTGAAGGGTACATATTTACTACTATAATGTATTAATACAGACATTTTAGGGGCAGATAAGGACCAAAGTTGTCTCTTTAAGGGTACTGCCCCAATCCTCTTGTGTGTGTGGGTAAGTAAATAAGGTAAGTTTTTGCAAATTTTTCTGACAGGGTAAGTACAATGTAACAAGTTGGTCCAGGTGTCTGTAATGCAACATGTACTTGTGTTGTGTAAAGAATTTCAGAATGCAACAATATGTAAAAACAAGATTTATGCTCATGTTTTTTGGTGAAGGGAAAATCACTTCTGTGTCGGATTCAAGAGAGAGACCGGAAGGTTGCCGTTTGGTCCTGATGCTTAAAACTGCAGTCTGTAAGAATGACAGATAGTGGTTGAAATCGGTACTGCGGTCCAACTCAAAATTTCGGAGATCGTTGTTTCCCCCGCCTCCTCAGACTCGACGGCGCTCACACGGGTCGCCAGTTTGAGCACACACAACAGGAACGAGCGCAATGGACAATGAAAATTGGCAAAGTGGCAACGTGAATATCACAGACCAAAACAATAACAAACATTCCAGCCTGGAAACACACATTTCAAAGTAAAAGTGTTTTTTTAGAGAAACGAGTATGTGAACTTAGCATGTGAAGACTAAAATTTCATCTTTTAATATAATTTCATTATTAATTATAATGTATCTGTATTATTATTCTTTATTATTCTTTAGTTGTATTATCTAAGTTTATAAAGCATGAGTTAGACTATAGATTGCATGGACACGTGTTTAAGGATCATATTTAATACAACTGATTATGAATACTAATAAAGAATAATAATACAGATACATAATATTAAATAATGAAATTATATTAAAAGATGAAATTTTAGTCTTCACCATGTTTCCTCAATACATGCAAACATATTATGGTATTCGATAACAATTTATTTTAAGGTGTCACTGTTACAGTGTAATTATATATTTAAGTACTGAGTAATATTAAGCAACTACATGTACTTACTATAGACCAATTTCGAACCGATGTCACAGTTACGTCACACGGCGCTAGCTGGAGGCAAAACAAAGTGAAAACTGGAGGCGGCCAATACAAACCAGCACAGATTCGGCTACATAATAAGGAGCTTAAATTATTATTATTATTATTAAATGTCATCTTGTTGTGTTGTTGGGTGCAAGAATCGATGAAAAATGAATATGCTGTATCTGAAATTTTTATTTCTAGAAAATATTCAAATCATTAACATCGCACCGTAATGTCACTCTTTACATTGTCGTCTTCTCGGCACTGGCTCGGCAGAACTGCGGACCGTACCACACAAGTCTTTACATGACCATTCAGCACATAGTTATAGGCATCTAAAGATTTATATGCCCTCAGTTTCTCTTTACGCTCGGTTTCTCTATCGGATAGGTGTAGAAGTCCGGCCACTCAACCGGAGGTAGCGCTAACGTTAATCCTGTCAGATCGTCCATCATTGAGTGAGCGTCTACGGGTCGGCCAATCTGGTTCCGTCCGTTAAAATCAACTTTTGCAAATAACAATCGCGGTCCTGGACACTGAGTGACCTTACACATTAAGATAAAATCCGATTTTCTCCCGTCATTGTTAAAAAACAAGCTAACAAAACTTGCAAACTAACTTTAGGGAAGTGGCCAGAGGGATCATTCTGCCTCCACCTAAGCTCCGCCCACAAAAAACGTCACCATGTTTACCAACTGAAAATTGATCTATAGGGTTAGGGTAGGATTAGGATTTGGTTGAGGGTTAGTTGCATGTAATTATGCATAATTTACTGTTATTACTATAGTAAATACGTGTAACATGTAACAAGGACACTGTAAAATTAAGTGTTACCTGATATTTTTATGCTTTATTAGAGTGAAAAAGTGACACACAGCACCTTTAACGAGAAGAACAGGTCTGTGCCCCTCGACACTTACCCATCCTCCTCGGTCCCTGATCTCGGGGCAGACGACTCTCTCTACGTAACTGCCCACACACTCCTGGATCTGGGGCAGGACCGCAGACATGCCCCTCTCCTGGCAGTGCAGAGCCAGCTG